CAAATTTATCAACTTCTTCCAAGTTGTTGGTAATGAGTTTAACCCATTCGAGTTTGTGAGAGAAAACTTTATCAGTAAATAATCGAAAAGAAGTAACTGATTTTTCATGGCCAATGTGTGAGCTACATTTGTACGTGAATTGTTCTCTTATAACTCTGTTGTGTGGGCTATATTTAATAAGAGAGAGATGCAACCAAATAACACTTAGTTTATTAAGTACAAAGTTGTGTCTCGAGATAAGTAAAACACTTAAATAATTGGTAAGAATTTGAGCTTCAGTCCAAGGTAGAAAAAGGCAAGGTGTTGCCACAGCTGTGGTCAATCGTCGAGTCGTCGAGGAATCAGTTCCTGCTTACGGCGATGACGCCTTCTCTCCGCTTGACCAGTTGGTAAGGCAGATAGTTGGAGAGATCCGGTAGATGGTGCCACAAGCGTGCGGTGCGGCGAAGCAGCCACATCCACTCCCCCTTGAGTATCTTTTGCAACCTGAGAGGAACTTGAACAGAAAGATACGTTATTAGATCTTTTGTTAACATGAGAAGATTTATGAGGCTGTGTAGAGCTGTGGAGAGTAGAGGATGACTGATTGGAATTGGTGGTGCTTGAAGTTCCTGGATCTTCCTTAACGATTTAGGCAGGCTTCAATCTATCCACAGAAATGTTCTTTTCCTTTCCGTTTATCTCAATTCTGTAGATTTTGTCAGTGACGCGTTGTAGAACTCTGAATGGTCCAGCATATGGTGGTTCCAGAGGGGCTCTTACGTGATCACATCTCAGGAAAACGTGTGAACAGGAGTCGAGATTCTTCAAAATGAACATCCGGCTTTTGGTGTGATGTGATGTTGGTGCAGGTTTTAATTCTCTCATATAAGTTCGATGTTTTTCTAGGAAAATTTTTGGATCCGATTGAGCGTCCTCATCGACAAAAAATTCTCCAGGAATACGAAGTTGAGTTCCAAACAGCATATCCGCAGGACTGGCTTGTAGATCTTCCTTGTAGCAAGTCCTCAGTCCTAGTAGTACCGTAGACAAAACGTATGGCCATGGTTTTGAAGAACACATAAGAGCAGCCTTTAAAGTCCTATGCCAGCGTTCTATCATTCCATTGGAAGCAGGATGATAGGGTGTTGTCCTGATGCGCTGGGCTCCAATAAAGTTGGTCAACGAGTTGAAAAGCGCAGATTCAAATTGTGCACCCTGGTCAGTGGTGATTGTGAGTGGAGTACCATAGAGGCTGATCCAGTTGTCGAATAAAGCTGTGACAATTGTATCCGATGTAATATTTGTCAGAGGAACAGCGGCTGGCCACCTAGAAAATCGATCAATAATCGTTAAACAGTACCGATAATTTTTCACCTCCGGGAGGACTATAATATCGATATGTATGTGATTGAACCGATTATCTGGTACTTGAATGTGTTCAGCTGTGGTTCTATTATGCCGCTGAATTTTTGATTTTTGGCATGGCATACATTCCTGGGCCCATGTCGAAGCATCTTTTCTGATCCTAGGCCACACAAATTTTTCTCTTAATATCTTTGAAGTAATTTTGCGGCTAGGATGAGAAAGCTGATGAATGCTGTTGAAGGCTTGTCTTCTAAGTGATTTAGGAATGTATGGCCTGGCAACATTGCTGCTAATGTCACAGTAGATATGAATATTGGGTTTGATCTGAAGATGGTGTAAATTGAGTGAAGATTTATTCTCTTGTATAAGATGTAATAATTCTTCATCCTTTTCTTGTTCTCTCTGAATTTCCTCAGCATCGAGAATAGTAGGCATGTTAATTGTTTCGATTCTCGACAGCGCGTCAGCGACTGAATTATCCTCTCCTTTTACATAAACAATTTTCGTCGTAAACTGTGAAATATATTCAAGTTGTCTAAGCTGCCTATCTGAAGCTTTTTCAAGTTTTTGCGAAAAAGCATAAATGAGCGGCTTATGATCAGTTCTTATGAGAAATTGTCGACATTCCAGGAGATGTTTAAAGTGTTTGACTGAAGAAAAAACAGCGAGGAGTTCTCTATCATAAACGGAGTACCTGGTTTCGGTATTGCTTAATTTACGTGAGAAGAAGGCTATTGGTTGAATGTGATCATTGTACCGTTGTTCAAGGACACCACCTATGGCTGTGGTTGAAGCATCGGTAGTAAGAATCAATGGAGCAGAGGGTGACAGATAAGCTATGTTTGTGACTGCAGCCAATGTGTTTTTGGATTTTTCAAAAGTTTGTTCCGCTTCACTGGTCCAATTGATTTTGGTTTTGTCATTCTTTTTCGATTGTTTGAGGTAAGCATTAAGAGCCAATTGCATAGTTGCTGCGTGAGGAATCACTGAGCGGTAATAGTTCAACATTCCAAGAAACCGCCGGAGATCTTTCACGGTCTCGGGTTTTGGAAATTTAACTATTTTGTCAACACGTTCAGTGGTTGGCTTGTAACCGTTAGCCGTAATAATATAACCCAAAAACGTTACCTCAGATCGAGCGAAGACACTTTTCTCGACGTTAATGGTGAGTGATTGTTGCCGAAGCCTCTCGAAGACGACACGCAGATGTTGTTGATGTTCTTCAGGTGATTCTGACATGATGATGATGTCATCGATATAAACATATACAAAATTCAGGTCCCTGAAGACGGAGTCCATGTACCTTTGGAAGGTCTGCGTGGCGTTTCTCAGTCCGAAAGGCATCACCAGGTACTCATAGAGGCCCCATGGAGTGGTAATCGCAGTTTTCTGAATGTCAGCTTCATTTATGGGAATCTGGTGATAAGCTCTAATTAAGTCAATTGTTGAGAAAATTGTTTTGGTGTGTAGGAGAGGAAATAAATTTTGAATCAAAGGTGGTGGATATTTATCAGGAGTGGTGACAGCATTCAATCTACGGTAGTCACCGCACAATCTCCAACCTTTTGTTTTTTTCTTTGTTAAGTGTATAAGGTTGGCCCAAGGACTACTTGATGGTCGAATGATGGCAGCCTCAAGCAAAACATTGATTTCCTCTTTGGCAGCAGCGAGTCGTTCACCTGATAATTTACGAGGTTGTTCGAAGACGGGAGGTCCTGTCGTTTCAATGTGATGAAAATACTTACATGCTCTTGTGTTGTACAAAACTGGTGGCTTTGTGATGTCAATAAATTCATTTAATAATACTGAATGTTGTTTGTCCTGGCTTAGCGTTGAAATTCCAAATACAGACGTCTGAATGAGCTCACCCTGTGTTGTGAGTGAGGTATTAGAGTCAATTAATCGTTTGTTATGAAGATCGATTACAATTTTGAAATAAGCTAAGAAATCTGCTCCAATTATTGCTGATTTCACATCAGCGATAACGAACATCCAGGTGAACTTTCTACGAAGATTTAAATCTAAACTTAGCAGTTTGGTACCATAAGTTTTGATGACAGAGGAATTGGCAGCGAAGAGTACAGGGTTACCCTGAGATGATCCTTGTTTGTAAAAAGCAGCCGGAACGACTGAAACCATCGAACCTGAATCAATCAAAAATCTTCTTTGGGAACCTCTGTCAAAAAGGTGAAGTCTGTGCTCAGTTGGAATTTGTAGGAATGTGCTGTTGTCGACTGAGCAGGTTGGCAACAGCTGAGTTAGTTTTCCTGACTTGAAGAAATATACGAGCAAGGTTTGATACACTTATTGGCCTTCGCTCCAAATTTCCAATGGTAAAAACACATTCTTCGATTAGAATTAGAATTTGGTGATCTGTTCCGAGAACGAGAACGTCCTCTGTGTTGATTGCCCAAGTTGTTATTGTGATTATTCGATTTGTTGGATTTACTCACCAGTTCTGTACAAAAACGTAGCATTTCATCAAGTTTACTGTAGATCCGGGAGAGTTTGTCCTCAGGCTGATGATGTATGCTCCCTGAGGAGATGGCCATGAGAGTGGAATCAGAGATGGAATCTGTGATCCGATCAGCCAACTCAGCAAGTCTGTCCAGGGATAGCTCTGGTGTTGCTGAGATAATTCCACGAGCAGTAACTGGAAGGCGGTTTTTCCATAGGGATTTCATCATGTCGTCTCCAACAACCCCTGCTCCAAGGTTACGCATTTCAACAAGGAGCTGTGAAGGTCGTTTGCTGCCTAACTCAATGCCAGTTGATAATTTTAATAATTGTTTTTCAACAGAGTCGGTGAATCGATGTATTAGTCTGTTTTTTAAAATGTTGTAATTATCTTGTACTGGTGGATTGCGGATGATGTCAGACACCTGTGCCAGTGAGTCTGAGTCAAGAGCAGCGATCAGATGATGGTATTTAGTGTCATTTGAACGAATCCTCCGAGAAGCGAATTGAGCCTCAGTTTGAAAAAACCAAAGTTCTGGTTTGTCGTTCCAAAATGGAGGTAGTTTAATATGACTCACGGCAAAAAGTTCACGTTGATTGAGGCTATCGTCCTGTGGTTGGTTCTGGTTCTGGACCGGTGGAACAACGTGACTGTGTGGTGTGATGTTACCCATATTTTGTTGCCCATCAGCGTTTTCAGATCTATCTTGAGGACTCAACAGATTGCCGTCTGCGTCCATTGTACAAAATGGAAGAGGATTTCCAATGTGGCAAATACTTGGACTGGAATCCTTCTTACCTTCTTTTCGGGGTCACCAATTTATAGCTCTGTTGTGTGGGCTATATTTAATAAGAGAGAGATGCAACTAAATAACACTTAGTTTATTAAGTACAAAGTTGTGTCTCGAGATAAGTAA